TGCTATAGAACTTTCCTTCTTTGTTTCCCTCTCTTTTCATAAAACAGTCTATTACTTTCAGGTAGGCAGAGAGATGCTCATGAATTCACGAAAATATGAAAAAGAAAAAATATCTAACCACCTGATCTATACTCTCCTGCCTAGTTGAGATATACTCGAGGGGAAAAAGAACAAGAGGGATAGGTTTCTTCTTAGTAACGTTAATCATTCCATCACCTTCTTGGTGACGGTAGAGCAATGTTACCAGAAAACGCTAATACCCTAGTGAATTATGTTTTGGAACGCACATTCCAAAATAAAGTACACTTCCGTTCCAAAATAAATATAGTGATTCAAAACAATCCAAAAAAAATGTTCCGCTATGTTTCCTTAAAAGTGTCTTAAGAAGAAAAAGAATCAAATATAATATAAGATGAGTGAAGTTTTGACAAGACAATGTCAAAATTGGGTCATAATGCTTGTAGAAATGTTTTGCTACATGATTAATTTGGAGGGAAAAAACTAAATTTTATTATATGCCTAATAATATATATATATATATATTAAAGATTACTCTAGAAGTATCTTTAAATCTTATAGTATAATTTATACAAATCTACCCCAATCATATCACTTTTTAGAGCATATGGCGTACCACATTTCTATTCCCATTTTATGTACAAGAACAATCAAAATTTTAGATAACACAGTGTTAGGTGAATAAAATTATCAACTCCTAACAAATTTTTGGTTACAAAATACCCAGCACAGAAGTTTGCCTATGCATGTATTCTAAGAAAGTTCATCACATTGATGTTTGAATATATTCTATCATATCAACCAAAATGACAAACAATTGATATGGTTCCAATTCCAAACTATGTTCGGTTGAGTTGGGAAATGGAAAAAGAAAAAAAAAAAAAGCCTTAGGTGAACCCAAAAGACAAAAAATAATATTATATTTCCCCCTCACTTTATTTTCCCTTGTGTTTTTCATTAGGACCAAATAAACAGTGAGATTGCATTTCCTATTCCCTTTTCATTTTTTTCATCAAATCATCCAACCAAACACAGCTAAAGACAATTTCCTCTAAATTTGTTCCCAAAAAAAAAAAAAAAGAGTCCATTATCAAGGGAACTTATTAAAAAGTCTTCAAAAAGCTAATCAATGTGTTTGATTTGAGTTTTTTGAATTAAGTTTTTTGAAAATTAAATTTTTTGGTTTTCGTATTTTTTTGTTTTTAGTGAATATTTTTAAAATTTTAAATATGTTTTTTACTTTTTTAGATGCACCTTGCTTAGATGTATCTAAAAAATAAAAAATTTGTGAAAAAATATTTTAAAAAATTAATAAATACATAAAAATACAAAAAAATATACTGAATTCTCGTATTTTTTGTATTTTTGATATTTAGTGAATTTTTAAAAAGTTTTTTTTCACAATTTTTTTCTTTTTAGCTATATTTATGTTAGGTATGTCTAAATATTAAAAAAAAAATTTGCTTAAACTATTAAAAAAATTCAGTAAAAATAAAAAAACACAAAAAATAAGAAAGTATAATTTTCTGAAAAGTATTTTTAAAAAACTCTAACCAAGCAAAAATTGAGATCAATAAACACAGTAAAAGCAACCGGAAGCACACAAATCCAACATCTAAACCATGATTCAAAGTTCAACAGCCATACAACCCCCAACCCAAAAGAATATATATATATATATATTTGGAATAAATAAACAAATAAATCAACACACACACACGCATGAAAATAAATAAAAGATTGATCAATTTTAAAAGGACACAATGATATGATGAAATAAACTGCTATTAACAAAACAAACTAGCAGCGACTAAGAAATCATTCAAAATCCAACATACAAAAACAACAACAAAGAAGATTACTGACTCATTTTTTCATTACCACTACCAGCTTATATGCTTATACTAAAAAACATAGTCAAAATTTAAAAATCGAATATGTGTAGAGAGAGAGAGAGAGAGAGAGAGAGAGAGAGAGATTACCGAATTGAATTGGGGATTCAAATCCTAATGAGCTGGTTTGGTTTGGGTTGGAGTTGAAAGTTGTTCAAAAAATCAAAGAATATGTTTCGAATTGGGGTCTCTCTTTGATAAGTGCTTCAACAAGGATATCTCTTTGAATGTGTGGTTCGGCTGTCTTTCATTTCATCTCCTAATTAATTGCACCTCTACCGACCTCAATCAATTTTCTTTAAAATTATACCATACCGACATAACAGATAATAATAATCAATCAATTCTCTTTAAAATCACCTCCCATTAAAATTATATCAGACCGACATAGCAAATAATAATAATCAACCATTTCTCTTTAAAATCAACTCTCTTTAAACTTATATCATATCCACATAGCAAATAATAATAATCAACCAATTCTCTTTAAAATCATATCATTTGAAGCGAAATTAAATATGTAAAATTAGAGAAATATAATCACTTTATTTAATTAGTCTATTTTTGTTTTTTCATTAATGATCTACTCAGCCTCCGTTTGGGAAATGGGTTGGCTTTTTGGCTTTTTGGCTATTTTTGGTTTGGGAAGGGCTTTTTGGTTTTTTTTTTTACTTTTTTTTGTGAGAGATGATTGTAATGATTATCGGTTGGATTTGATGTTTTATTTTTTGTGGCTAAAATAGCCTATTTTATTTTTTGTGACTATTTTAGCCAAAAAAGCCTGACATTTTTCTTCCCAAACAGAGCCTCAATCAACTTAACAATATAAGCGGTCTGAACTATTGAAACAAGCTTGAAACAAACTCTCACCAACCTCACAACAATTACTATTGTGTGATACTTAAAGTGGCACCCCAATTCCTCAAAATTTTGCCCATAATTAAAATATGTAAATAAATTTATTCTGAATACAACTCACAACGTACCAATTTTAAATTTACACTTTACATTTCACTTTCATGGTAAAATTTTGATTAAATTTTTATAGTGACTAGAATTATTGGGAAAATTTGTTGAGAAATCCATTAAATTGTAGGGAGGTGTATGGCATTAGGTCCAAGGATTGTCTTGTTTTAGGAGTTGTTTGGCATCTTTGATATTTGTACATTTTTTATTTTTTTTAGTCATATCACCTCTTTATTTTTCTGTATATTTTTTTCATAAAAAGTTAAGAAATATATTTATTTAAATCATTCTAAACAACCCCTTAGTTATAAAGAGATGATTAATAAAATTATTCAATGAGAAAGACAAATTTGTTTTGCAGAATAATATTTTTCAATTTTACCCACTGTTATCAAACCGTTAGTTGTCAGTCATCCGGAAAAATTTTCAGAAGTGGCTAGTGGTAGCATTTGGCATTGGTTGGTAGTAGTGGTGATATAAACAAATAGATAGATTAGTTGGACAAACAAGTGACACTAAACAGATAGATAAGATAAACAAATAAATTAATATAATATAATTTTTCAAATTGGTATTGTAGTTATGATCTCAGATTTCAAATTGAATTTATGGCTTGATTGCCTGAATCATTGATACAAATATTATTCAGTACACAAATAAATAGTTTAGATATATTTGTGATATGACCACCTTAATTACTCTACAAAAATCAATAGATAGGAGAATAATTATATTATAAAAAATATGATAGAAGGATGATACTACGTTTTTTTCTTTTTTTCTTTTTTCTGAAAACTGATTGAAAAGACCATTATTGTTATTCATGATCATTGTATGAAACTTCTCTTCAACAACTCGGTTGCCTTTTTTTCTTTTTTCTAAAAACTGATTGAAAAGACCATTATTGTTATTCATGATCATTGTATGAAACTTCTCTTCAACAACTCGGTTGCCTTTTTTTCTTTTTTCTGAAAACTGATTGAAAAGACCATTATTGTTATTCATGATCATTGTATGAAACTTCTCTTCAACAACTCGGTTGCCTGCTTCCTACTAGTGTTTGGGTGAGGATATAAGCAAAAGGACAATTAGTTACCGATTAAAAAAAAAAACAAAACACGTGTATCAATAGAAGGATTAAATTGTAGAACAGCGCTTCCGACCCCCAGTGGGGGTCCGACCCCCAGTGAGCTGTCCAGCTCTCATTCGCTGGAAACATAAAAAAAAAAAAGAAAAATTGTTTTTTTCGCCCAATCACAGGGCGCCACCTCACTGGGGGTCGACCCCCAGTGGGTGTATGAGGCATTTCTGTAAATTGTATTGGATCAAATCGAATAAAATAGGGAATTGTTTAATCCAATACAAGTATAAATTAGAGTTATCTATCCTAATTGAATTTTTATTTTTAATTATTATCGAAAAAAATCTAAATTTTTTAGTAATGACAAAAGAAATATTATTTATTTTCAATTATAGGATCGAATTTTAACATGTCTTTTAAGTCAGATTTAGATCCAAGCTAAATCGTAGGAATCAAATATAGAAGTGAGAACCCTATCATGTTTTTAATGGAGGTCAAGCTTTAGGCTTTGGTTGGGCCGCCCGTCTGTTCACGCTGCAATCTCATCAAAAATTATATAAAAAAAAAATAGCAGAAAAAGTGAAAATGAACTTAAAAAAAAAAAAGAGCTTAAAAAAAAAAAAAAAAAAGTCCTAAATCTCAATCCGTTGAACTTAACCCACAGGCCAGCCAGCGAGTCCCAACTCATTGGTATGTGGGAGACGGCCTATTGACCGAACTATCAACCCAGTCCGCAAACTCATGTAGGTCAAACCAGCTGGGCAAGGATTGGGCTTAAGATTTTCACGATTCAGTCCGGCCTGATGACAATGCTTGTGCATAAGCTCTTCCCTGTAAAACTTGATAGGCTGAGCTGGTTTTCCTAACCCTTGATTTTGTTTTAGGAAATTATCTTGAAGTATTTGTCCACCTACTCCCAGAAAGTCTGCAATTGGGCAGCTTTATGATGGCTATCTTTTTGGTTTTTCATATTTTTAGTTTGATGGAGGATTACATCTCAAATGAGAATGAATGACCACCAAGACGGTGAGCAACAGATAAGAAACAAAAAAAAGCCACTTCTGCACATCTCAAAACTCAGGGGCTGAACTAATTGACTCTTGAAGCACAAAGGAACTGGGCACCTGGGGTTATTACATGGTTCTACACAACAGGATTGGAGCAAAAGTGCATAACAAGCTATCCTTCCTAAGCAAATAATGGCTAGACAAAAATAAATTATATTTATATCCGCTTCTGATACATCCTCCTGTATATTTTTGCACCTTCAAATTCTGCATGGATCTCTCTCTCTGTCCTTATTCCCATTGGATTACTCACTAACCACCCCTCATCATCACAAAGCATGCTGGTGTCAATTTTGTCAATGTGCATAAGCTCATCCGAAACAGCATCAAACTTTTCCCTCATGTCAAGTGCCACTTCAAGCACATCAGATTGTATAAATACCTGTTCCACAACAATCATACATCTCAGCAAGTGTTATATGCACGACAGCCGTGCCCACAATACAATTTACATTGCAAATATCATCATGTAGAAGTAATAAAGTTGTGTGCTATAGAACTTTCCTTCTTTTTTTCCCTCTCTTTTCATAAAACAGTCTATTACTTTCAAGTAGGCAGAGAGATGCTCATGAATTCACGAAAATATGAAAAAGAAAAAATATCTAACCACCTGATCTATACTCTCCTGCCTAGTTGAGATATACTCGAGGGGAAAAAGAACAAGAGGGATAGGTTTCTTCTTAGCAACGTTAATCATTCCATCACCTTCTTGGCGACGTTAGAGCAATGTTACCAGAAAACGCTAATACCCTAGTGAATTATGTTTTGGAACGCACATTCCGAAATAAAGTACACTTCCGTTCCAAAATTTGAAGATTTTGTTATTGTACTAGCCAAATGTGTTCTCTTGAAATCTCCAAAGCTAAAACATTTATGCTGTGTTTGGTTGGGGGATTTTGGAAGGGATTTGGAAAGGGAAAGGGAAAAGGTGTGTGAAACTATGTGAAATGTAGGCATGTTTTTTTCACATTTCACCTACCTTCTCCATTTCTCTTTCCAAATCCTTCCTCAAATCCCTCAACCAAACACAGCATAAAAGTGTCTTAAGAAGAAAAAAAATCAAATACAATATAAGGTGAGTGAACTTTTGACAAGACAATATCAAAATTGGGTCATAATGCTTGTAGAAATGTTTTGCTACATGATTAATTTGGAGGGAAAAAACTAAATTTTATTATATGCCTAATAATATATATATATATATATTAAAGATTACTCTAGAAGCATCTTTAAATCTTATAGTATAATTTATACAAATCTACCCCAATTATATCACTTTTTAGAGCATATGGCGTACCACATTTCTATTCCCATTTTATGTACAAGAACAATCAAAATTTTAGATAACACAGTGTTAGAGCTTTCTTTCTATGGAAAAGCATTCAGATTCCAGTGATCACAGCGAAGGTGTCCTTTGTGTGGACCGCGGCTTTGGAGGCTATGTTAACCATTGATAATTTGGGGAAAAGGGGAAATATGCTTCTCAACTACTGCTGTATGTGTAAGAAGGCTGAAGAACTGGTGGACCACCTCCTTTTACTCTATGAGGTGGCTAACAAGCTTTGGAGCATCTCTTCTCTATTTTTTTGGTGTTAGCCGGGTGATGGCAGATTCAGTGGTTCATCTTTATGAGAGTTGGCATAGGTGTCATCCCACTTTGTTTGATGTCATGTTTGTGGAAGGGGGAGGAGTGGGTAATAGGACTAGTGGAAGAGGGAAATCATAGAATCAATGAGGCACTTTTACATTCCTTAAATTTTTGGATGGAATGAAAATTTTGTGATCCTTTATCTTTGCATTATTGATTTTATAGGGGAGTTATCTTCTGTAGATGCTGTATATGATATTTTTGTTATCTTTTTGTATACCCCCCCAGTGTACAAAGGTTACGCCCCTTTTTGCATTTTTAAATACAATCATTTACCATGTGAGAGAAACAGAGAGAGGATTTCACCCAAGATAGTCAAAACAGTGTCTAGCTTTGTGATTTTGCAGCAATCTAGCAAATTACTGAAGTAAAATTCAAATGTTGGCGGGATTTGGGAGAAAGCAATGTTCAGAAACAAAATGATTTTGCAAGTTCCTAGTTGATTTCCCTATTTACATATTTGAATAACTGTCCAAAAAAACCTGGTTTGCATACAGATACGATGCACTTCTCTTTTATGAGAAGTAAGAAGAAAAAGGAAAGAAAATAAAAGAAGATAAATACAGTAAAAAAATGTGCACAGTGAAAAAAAAAAAATGAATCTTAGCAAGAAACAACAAACATTTCAAGATTATTTACATCAAACATTTCAAGATTATTTACATAGGCTTAGCACTGAAATGTAAGAATTGATCAACCATCATCTAAGGTGAATTCAAATGTCAATGAAAATAGAATTTCTCTCTGCACTGCAAATATGAACATGATGGGAAAAGAAAACACATCCATCAAAGACAAAAACTTGAAAACAAAAAGGCCAGTCAAAAAAAGATTGCCTGATATCCTTTCTTTTTCCAAATTTTTTTACAAATACGCTTTTTTGATATAGAACGTTTTTTTGGAACTGCCATTTAAAAATCAAGAGGTTACTCATTATTCTAGTTGGATGTGAAAGACATTCCTCTCCCCAGCCATTTCGGGTTAAGAAGATGTGAAAGCGCATTTATCTTTAGTTTATCTCTATAAGAACGGTGCATTCCGAGGTGTGAAATGCATTCTGAAGCCATTTTGTGAAATCCTAGTGCTGATTCAATAGTGTCAACTCTAGAATGGCTTCTATAAAAAACGAAGCCATTTAACCAAGCAAAATATCTTCTGATGTAATGTTGGCAACAGGGAAAGCCTTTTGACAGGGTAATGATACACAAACATAATTTACATGTATTCATTTATTCGAAATTAAAAAGTCCGTCACTACGAATCATAATTGCAACTCTGCATGACTTTTCTGCATAAAAAATTTGTATGTTTAGCATTTCCTTTTTGACAGGACAAGACTAGGAATCATACATAACACACAGGAGGCCTAAAGTTTAACGAGGGTCTATATCAATTATCATATTCAACTAAAAATATAAGCATAGTTCAGTTGGCTATACACAAATTACCCAACCCCTGTACATAAGAGATAAATAAAAGTGGCTGGTTCTATATCCAATGGTTCAAACAATCACAATGAGTGAATCAACACAAGGAACTAATCAACATAAGCCACACGTGAAGAAACATGCAACATTTTGGAAAAGTCTGCTTTGGATAGGATGTCTACATAAAAATGAAGCTGAGATGTTGCGCTAATAGGGTGAAGTGGCTATCTTCATAAATTTGTTATTATTTCTGTTTAAGGCCAATTCTGGTTCTTCAGTCTTCTTTGTTCTCTCATTTCTTGTGATGTGTAAGTGTAAGTTAAATGCCTCGGTATCCCCCATGACTTTTAAGAGTTAACTACAGGCTTGAATGGAAAAGCTAAAATGTCTTTGGAGAATTAAGTGTTTTTTTTTTTTTTTTTTTTTTTTTTTTTTTTTTTTTTTTCTCATTTCCTGAACACTTGAGTTTAGTGACTATCAGAGTAACCAAGTAAAAAATATGGCCTGATAAAATTCCATCCAGTTAAGGTCTCCACGGTCCCAAGACGTAAATTCATGTTTACACAGAACGTAACTTCTTTTTTTTATAGTCAAACAGAACAATACTTAAAACAATTCATTTGTAGACTATAATCAGATAACTGATAATAAAATAAATAGTTTGTCCAGCCTGTTAAAAGAAGCATTTATAATGCAAATGCATTCACTAGCTCTAGCAAATATGACCGGTCTTGCAAATCATTGATATGTTGAGCAATACCTGTCCTCGAGGCATTAAACTATCTACAATAAACTCCACTAAAGGCTTCTGCAAAACCCTTCTTTTATGATACTTTTTCTTGAAATGAGGGTCTGGACACTGCAAAATAACACACCAACAATTGTAAGTTTTAATTTAAACAACAGCCATACAATCTAACCATTAAAGAAAATCCTTCCTACATAAAAATGTGAAAAGCATTTCTCATAGAATGTTCCTGTACAAGAAGGCCATGTTTGTTTGGGCGGACATGTGCTTGGGATTGGACTAATAGTCCAATAAAATTATAAATCCGATGTTTGGTTAAAAAATTGAAGTACGGACTAACAATCCATCCGAATATGGTATCCCACATATGATGAACTATTCAATCCCATATAGGGGGTGGGATATAAATTGGGAGACTAAGTCAAAGTTTAGACTAACTTATCAAATAACCATAATAAAGGTATTATGGTCAGTATATTGGATGCCTCATGTCCTATCCATTTCAATCCCCTTAAACAAACATCGGATTGGATAATATTTTATTAATCCATCATTATAATCCTAACTCAATTCAAACATAGGATATGATACACAATCCAAAAGATTCATAGTCCTAGGACCAAGGTTCTAAAAAGCGGTTGCGGTCGCCGTAACTGTGGCGGTGACGCGGTTGCGGTTGTGGAGTGTAAAGGCCGTAGTGTAACGGTTGCGGTAACCGAAACCGTGAATTCTTTTATTTTTTGCACAATTTGAAAAAAACTTACCGATACGCATTTTTTTTTTCATGATCATATTTATTGAGTTAAAAATAAATATTGATCAATTTTTGTAAATTTTAAATATGATGCAATATATTTCATATTTTTAAATAACTATAAATTGAATTTTTTACATTTTATTTTAATAATTAATGACTTTATATTATATAAAAAATCAATCACTAACTCTTATATATAAGATAAACAATGATAAAAGTAAAAGAATAAATAAGAGCTTAAATATATATATATATATATATATTTTAACCAAGCCAAATAGATAATGACCACACTTATTGTTATTATTATTTTCAAACAATATATAGATAGATACACACAAATAAAATGGTTTAGTGATAGCAGCTGAATAGAATAGCATAGGTCTTACAGTTTTAACAAATCAATAACATATTTTTCATCTTCCCTCTTTTCTCTCTCTATCTCTTGCTCCTCCATTTTCTCTCTTTATCTTCCCTCTTCTCTCTATCCCTCTTCTCCCATTTTCAGTTTTTTTTTTTGTGTTTTTTTGAAAGAAACAGTTTGAAACCGTTACGTAACGGTGTGTAACAGGCCGTTACGGCTCTTACGGCACCGTTACAACCGCTACGACAGCCGCTACGGCCGACACACCTGTGAATCTCAATCACACTGCAAAAGCGGCCGTAACAGGTGGCGGTAACTGCCAAAACCGTTACGTAACGGTTGCGGCCGCTTTTTAAAACCTTGCCTAGGACTATTTGTTATGGAAATGCTAATCCAACCTAATCCAGTCAACCCAAATAAACATAGCCAAAGGGGACTCACCAGGATGGAAACTAACATCAAGGGTCCGGGGTATGTCGATATGAGTTGTTTGAAAGAAACCGTTGCATTTGCAAACATGAAATGTCTGCATTCAGATATACATCACAACATAGCCAATAAAACCTCGTTCATTTTCTCTTTTTATCAATTTAAAAATAAAACCAGGAGTCATAACTTGGAACCTTACATATTTCTTAATGCCAACTCATTTACCCAGTGCTCAGCACGTTTGACCAACTGCAGACACAAAAGAAAATGTCACTATATAAGAACAAATTCTTCACATTATTTAAATTTCAAGGGGAAATAACCAAGCAATTATACATTAACTCAATCACAGGAATTCTCAACAGGATTTGATAACCAAGGAATCTGTCCCCATACTTTCTTCCGTATTTCAAGTCCCAAATAATTCTTCGAATCCAGATTTCTTTTTGCAAGCCACATAAGAAATCTGCCACTACCTGGAATTTTTTATGTCGTTAGAGCAATTCAAGAAACAAGTTTGCATACTTCTCAGTCCATAAATTAAATCTAACCTCAGAAAATGAGGATTAACAACAATTTGAGCATCAATTAGATGCAGGTCATCACATGTAATAATATAGACATCAAAAATATATTTTCTCAGCTGCAACACAAGAAATAATCATCTGTATCTGTATACATTAATTATATGGTTTAACATTATAGAGGGAATTTAAGCCAACTCCTGAACTGATGAGAAGGTTGTTCTTAATTTCCTCTCCTCAAAGATGTCATTGTATTATATGGTTTAACATGAAAAGCAATAGTAAAGGTTAGGTTAGTTACAACATGCATTGGCCAGATCATTGTTAGGTACACCACAAGATATCATCCTCCCTTTAAATATCTACTATTGTTTGTACTCTTCTTTTGCCGTTACTTCCCCATTCTGTAGACCCTAGGAGCACGCCATTCATCCAAATCAAACCAACTCTTCATATAACAATTGATTCAAAAGGATGAAACCATAAAAGCAAGCTTGGCTCAGAAGCTCTCACTGAATATATGAAGGATTTAAAAATTCAGAGAAAGTAATTTGATAACTGTTGGTAGACAGGAAGGTCAAAGATATAATATTCAAGACATACAAATATATACGCTTTTCGGCAGAAAGGCAGGCCAACTTCAGGAGATTGTGGATCATTTAGTTTATGAGTATTACTTCACTCCAGGTACAAGTAATCTACAACACAACAAAGTCTCATTCTTATGTGTTATATCATTCTATCTATCGCAATGTTCAACACATTTTCGACATTTTCATTGCATTCCTAATCACATTACACTACTATGATGGTATTCATAGAACCTCTATTAAAGAAGTCAACTAGGAAATAGCGTGTTTAGATTCAACATGGAAATTTATTTACAAAAAAAATATAAAAAAAATAAAAAAGAGGAAAGAGCTCATTTAGGTGAACTTGCAATCTTGACATTATAAATAAAAGTTTATCGATTATAATGAGTGCACAACTTCTAGTAATTTCACTGTAGATTGCAATATTTTATTTAAAGAATGCAGCTATCATTAAAAAATAACCCACTAATGCAGCTACCCCTGGCATACTTTACTTTCTTTCACCAACAACCACCTTTTTTTTTTTCCTTTTTCATGACTAGCAAAACTAGAGCAAGATTTGAAAGTCTTGGTACCACTATTTTATAAACCCCAACACCTTTCATCTAAACACCATCAAGAAGAGAGGTGGAGGTAAGCTCTTTGACTTCACACTCACTGAGATCTCTAGAAAAGTTGACATCCCAAGAGAAACCATGAATATCATGAGAAAGGCTAAATGCAGTCTCCAAATACATAAAAAAATAAATAAATAAAAAGTAAATACAAAAAATTTAGAGAGAGAGAGAGAGAGAGAGAATTTTGAGAGTCAACAACTGAAAAGTAAATTTTAGAGCAATATTCCAAGGTGCAGCGTCAAACATCAATCAATATTAGATTCTAACTTTTCCGAAGACCAAAAACACAGCTTCGTTCTTTAACAAAATCTCCGGAGTCAATTTTATAAGAATGTATTCCCAGGGACTACAATGTTTAATCTACCACCATCACTTTTGGGACAACACACAATCACCCAACTCAGCCCCAAAATTTCCTATCCAAGACATCCACAACCAAGATAAACGAGAAAGGGAGCAATGGGTGATCACCACTCATCAAGCGCATAGTCAACCACTTTTTTTAAGGGGAGGGCATTGCTGCCTTTGAAAGCATTCCCTACCAAAGGCTACCCCAATCAATCCAGGTTTCTTTTTCCAGACGAAACCTTTGACATTCTTCATAAACCAAGAACCTGCTTCAGGGAAAATACAGCTTAGTATATCATTCAGCATGCTTTGGGATCCCTTCCTCGGCTCAACAATCGATTCCAGATTCATTTATATTACAGAGGTCAACTTCAACTGTTTAATTAAAGCCCTATTGTTATAGACATAGCTATCATAATGGTCTACTGAAAAAGATGTCAAGGTCAAGAAATTGTATACTCGGTGTCATCTATCTACAACTGAGTCCACGAGGACATAAAAACAATTAACAAGGAAATAGCCCTAAAATTATGACCTTTTTGGTTCAATACGCTCATGATATGCAATAACATGACAAATGACATTTGATCTATTCAAGTGACTCTTCCATCAATAGGACACAAACACTGTTGTCAGTGTTGTGAAACAACTAAAATATGAAACAACGTTATCGAATATTGCTAGTTCTCTAGACCTTTTCATCATGTATATACAACATATTATAAGCTTGAGAGCTCAAGTTAAAACTATTAGATCACCAATTATCTCAAAAGTTTTAAGTCCATAGAAAATAAGTCCAACAATTATATCAAGTTGTCCAACACTCTCTCTCAACAATGTATATCAAGCTACCCAATATCATCCCCCATGTGTAACCTCATCTCGCACGTGAAAATGTGAAACATTCATACATGCAAAGAAGCAAAATGAAAATTGGAAACAAATGCAAAGGAAAAGACTTGAACCCAAGACCTCCAGAAAACCAAAGCTCTAATACCATGTTAGATCACCAATTGTCCCGAAACTGAAAGTTTAAGCTATTAGGAACAACGTATATCAAGTCAAGTGACAATAACATCAATAGAGAAAGAGAAAAATAATGTTGAAAGCATCAGGAGTCGTTTGTTTCTTACCACTCCCTATATCCACCATAAGTGGCAATGTCGAGTCCCTATATACTTCACTCCAGTCTGGAACTGGTGCCGGCACCTGGCCAAAATAAAGAAAACAATCATTTTGAGTGAGAAAAGCTCATAATGAACACATTAGATTTCTCACAAACAGAAATGCCCCAAAGAGAGATATTACCGAGAGTGACGCACAAAGAGGGTTCACATGTTGCCTAATTCGAACATGACCCAAGTCCTGCAACAAGCACATGCTCACCATTTAAGTGAACAATCAACCAAACCAACACAAAATTTCCATAAAGAATGAAGATATTTATCAAGATAAGGATGACTATGGAATGGAAATTTACCTTTCATGGTCAATGGTAGTGAAAAGCATACATAAAAAAAATAAAAAATAAAATAAAATAAAATCTTTATTTTAGATTCAAAACCGATTAAAGGAAGTTTTAAAACTTATAATGACATTATAGACCATTAATTTTGAATTATGATAATGTGTTGCAACTTATAAAATGAAATGGAGATCTCCACTCGGTAAATAAAATGGAGAGGATCAAAATCTAGACAAATTGCAGAGAGGATTATTCATTTGCAATCCTCACTACACAATTCCATTTACTTGCCATTGAAATCACACCCATCAAGAAAGACAACATGTGTGTGCAACTTTACCTTGGAAACTTTGTTTTCTGTGAGGGCATGTCCAATCCTTTACCCAAACTCATACCAAAATAAGTTTTACTCAAATTTTTGACCCAAATCAATGGCAATAATTCTACTAGAAATCTTACTGAAAATACAAGAGGCTAAATGTGATTGGTTGTCAAAAAAACCCATGATATTTAAACATCCAATAATATTTGAACATGTATGTTTTTAGTAAGATTGTTAATAAGAATTTAAGTAGATGTAGGATTGCTCAATCAATGGAGACCCTTTTTTCACTCAAATTTGTAAAGACAATTAGGGGTGATTTGGCCATTGGAGTCCCCTATATCAAATAAAGGTTGTACCCAAATTTGAGTAAAAATATGAGTGAGGGTTGGAGATGGCCTAACTTGCATATATATTTTTTATTATTATTTTTTTTTTTTCAATTGGTAAAAGATTAATTACACATATGAAAAAATTAAATCAAAAAATGGACAATTAAAATCCAAAGCAATAGCTAGAATGCCAATAGTAACCAATCCCAAACTTGGAAAGAAATAAACAACTACATACAATCCATAATGGATAAAGAAATAAAAAAAGCAAACACCGCAAAGAGAACGAGTGAACAACTAGGCCAAAGCCCTCGTTCGCTTGCTAGGTTGGTCGTTCCCCTCATAAAATTGAAATTACAACTATGAATTAAAAACCCAGAAAAAAAAAAAAAGGAAATTTATATTGATATAATTTATATATACCTGGGAAAAATTGTGAGAGAGATTGAGGTCGGAATATTCTAAGGCGACGAGCTGGGGGCTTCTGAGCAGTTGTCCCTCTTCTTTACCAACAGAAACAACTACTACTCCTCCTCCGTTACTACTACTACTACTACTGCAAGGGCAATGGCGATGAGGTTGAGGAACAATTGAGAGTTGAATGGAAAATGATTTGAGTTTTGGAGTGGGATTGTTGATGAAGCGAGACGATAATAGTATTGAATACAACAAGGCCTCACGGGTCCTGGGCACGGCACAGATAAGCGACGCCATTTTTAAGCAAAATGCGTTATTTATGCAGAGACATTTCCCTGTATGTATGTATATGTATGTAGATACACACAGACACAATCGTTCCTCGGTCGGATACTTCTTTAAAACCCTTCTCAGCTTACCATCTAAAAACAAAACAAAACAAGCAAATGATGTGCATTCTAGAAGAGTCTACATATATACTTACGCCAAGTTTGGCATGATTGAAAAACAGATAAAAATTCAAAAAAATCACTATCCTATTTAAGTCACATCATCTTATTTAAGTCATATCACATCTCTAACCCATCACTTCAAACCCAACCCAAACTCAACCCATATTTCATAAAAAATCAAAAAGTGCACTTATTTAGTCTTCCCAAACTAGGCCTTAGTGGGTGACACATACGATGTATGTGCAATTTAAATAAGCACGAATAAAAAAAAATAATAATGAAGTTCATATTATAATGTGTACTTAGCTTAAGTGGTATAAGTCATTGTACTTAAACCCATAGTCATGGATTCAAGCCTTGCTCATCTCTTTGTTTAACTTTTTTTAAAAAAATAAAAAAGTAAAGCTTCAAGACACCATATTATGTGTTCACTTTATAATAGTATAGATAGATAGATAGATAGATTATATATATATAACTATTATATATAGGCAGGGCGGAGTCAGAATTACAGTATTGGGTAGCTAAAAGTAAGATATTAATAAGTTTATAATAAGTTTAGACGGTTGGATTAATTCTAATTTAGACGACTGAAAGCAACAAATAGCTATTAAAATTAAGCTAAAAAATAATTACAAAAATATTATTCCGCGAACTTAAATTTAAATGATTTATCACTAGAAAATGCAAATGAGAAGTAACAACGGTAATTAATTACATATCGCATTGCATACATAAAATTGTAAAATTATCACATACTAATTGTTAGGTTTTTATTATTGACAATCCCATTTGACAAAAATCATTTCAGTTGTAATTTTATTCAGTCTTTTATTTAAGTGAGGCTATGAGTATTTAAATGCGAATCTAACCTGAATTGTGCTTATGCAAAGGAGTTTGTGATCTTAATCCTATCATGTTTGTCATTTCGCTGACTATGTCGGGGATCGAGCTGGGAGTTATGTTTTTGCGCTTAAGCGACACGTCATGCGCTTGAGTGTAGATCTGTGTTTTGAAACACGTATTTTAGTCAGTTTGCTCGAGCGGCCATTCTTGTGCTCGAACGGAAATCGCAATTTTGTTTTCTATAAATCTGTGATTAATTCAGTTTCTAGGATACGGTTTCCAGATATTCTTCTTAGGTATTAGAGTTTTCATCTGGAACTTCTTTGCTTGTTTCTTTTGATATCTGTGAGTGTTTAATCATGAATTGAGTGGATTATATCAAAAAAATTGTTTAGTTTGTTTTATTCAAGTTGTTCTTCGGTGGATTTCGTGGAATTTGGGTCTGAAGCTTTGGTAGATTCTGGAATGGCTCATCATCGTGGATTCGACATTGGCGTTGTAGATTCAATGTTGGGCAAGACAATTTCGAAGTGAAGACGAGGCTGGAAGAGGCACATAGGGGTCAGTTCGATTCGGGTATGGATTCGTTAGGTAATTAAGAGTACACTTGTGTAATTTCTTTGTCTTCTTAGTGGAGTGTTTTGTGGCTTTGGCCCGTGATTTTTTATCACAATTGGAAGCGCTCCAATTGTGGTTTTTCCACGTTAAAATTGTTGTGTCGATTTGTCTTAATTGTTTGATTGTGATTATTATTTATTGCTTAAAATTGATACATAATCACAAATCAATATCTCTGGGATTTTGAGATTTTTCACTAATGAATGAAAGATAAAATTACTTGGTTTTTTTTTTTTTAAGGACTTAAAACTAGTAAGATTATGGTATATACTTTTAAAATGCATATTGTATACTGTTTCAAAACTACACTACAATGATTTGTAACAAAATCACAATAGTTAATGTACGGGGAGCAAATATTCCGGCAAGCCCGTACTCCTTTCTTCCAAGCTCCTGCCTGTCCGATCGACCTGCGAGCACAACGGCAGTGAGCTACCCGGCGGTGTGTGGCTGGAATACCCCTCCGACGATCAAGTTAGACACACACAGGGATAGAGAGAGAGAGAGAGGATTGAGTGTTTAGTGTAAATCTCACCAAATGTTCCTCAGTCGTATGGGGGGCGTAGACATGCTTATATACCTTCTGCGCCCCAAATCTACTCCCAGTGACCTCTCAACACGTGGCACTGCTATCCCATCTGTCAGCATAAATCTTGCTGAGCACCACCTAACCCAACTGCCTGTCCATTCTCCTGGGAGCTCGGCAACCGGGCAGTACCATCTCGGCCATCGTCTGCCAGGCTGTGCTTCATGCCCAAGTACTCCAACAGCTAAGCTCAGATGAGGACCGGACTTAGCGGCATCTCGGCAAAGCCGAGCTCGGGACAACTCACGCTTGTCTGCGGTTGACCTACCTGCCGAGCAAACAGGTACCTCGGTCCAACCTTGCCTTTCCTGGCGCTGGACTTTTCACCTGACCGGCTTTGTAACCACGGATCCTTGTAGCTCGGTCAATCCACGCGCTGCCTTAACCAAGCAGCTTCCTTCAAGGCCGGGCCACACAACTTGGCTCAACACCTGTTCGACCCAAATCTGTCCGGCTCAATTTCATATCATTAATCTCCCTCTCAGTTAATAACATTTTTCACCATAATAGTATGTAATATTTTAATATTCATAACATAATCATAATAGTTCGCTATATAAGAGTGTCTCCAACACTTACTTAAATTTGATAAAACACGTTTACTTTTTCTCCTCCAACCCTAACATCAAGCCTATATCAAATGAGGGGAAAAAAAACAAAAGTTTCATCAAATTGAGAGAGGCTTCATTGTTCATCAAATTTTTGAAGAGGGCCGTTGCGCTTCATCATACACCGGCCGACCTTAGTTACTTGCAAAGTTGCCCATTGCTTTGCCCTTTGCCAATCGACTGCTTGGACATCCTCTTGGTCGCTCTCCCGGCCGACGGGTTGTTTGATGAAAATTGAAAATTTAGCGTTGAAATGCTTAGTATCAGATGAAGTTTTTAATCTAAATATTTACCCAAATTTGATGAGAAAAAAAAGAGAGTAAGCTTTGAAGATGCTCTAACCATAATAATTTGTAACTAATTTTTTGTTTTGTTTTGTGGCGGATCCATTCCAAACATAATTATAATGATTTGTATTAACACTACAAAAACTCATAACCATTCAACAAAATATAGTATATAAGTAAAAAAAAAAAAAAAACAAGAAGTAGAGGGGGGAGGGGGGGCAAATACAATTAAAGTAACATATGAAGTACATAAATTACATCCATATTTTAGCAATCGAAGCAAGTTAGCAGGCCAGGACTCCCTTGACCCCCTCCTCCCTTCGCCCCTGTATACAGGCAATAACCTACATATTAAACCACACTATAAGGAAAAAGGGATTTAATGACATTTATTTAGACAACGTTTATGAATACGCCACCTAAATAACATTTAAAAGTGTTTGAAAAATGTCTTCATTTTTGTTAACTAAAACGACACCGTATTATTATTAGAATTCGTTTAAAAAACTCCTTCAAATGTATTTTTTAAAATAAAACCCGTATGACCCATCCCACTCTCTCACTCTTTCTTTAAACTCGATCGATTCAAATCCTCAAACAAATCGATGCAAATCTCTCCTCTCATCTTAGTCCGATTAATCTTGGTCAGGTTGATCGTTTTGCTTTGTCCTCATCTTAGTTCAGTTGATCAATTTGCGTTGGTCTCATTTCAGGTCAGATCATATCTTGTCTCTCATGTAAGAGTAGATCGAGTTGGATCAATGATTTTGATCAAGTGAATTAATGTTGCCTTGCTAGTTGATAGGTTTTCATATAATATGCTTATTTTTTGGCAAATGTTTATTTGAATGGGAAAGGGAATTAATGTTACCTTTGTTATTTGAATATATTGAAATATTAGTAAACCCATATTATTATTATTTTATTGATATTTTGGCTATTTTTTTGGTTTGTTACAAGGGTTTTTTAATTTTATTTGATTTTATTTTTTAGATAGAAATAGCATAATTTCAAAAAATAAAATAAAATAAAATAAATAGAAATAGAGCTGTGATCGCGTTTTTAAAAACACCACTACATAGTCAATGATACAATTTTTATAAAAGAAAGCAAGTTGTGACGACGTTTTTAAAACGTCGCTAATATTGGCGTGACGTCATTTTACTGTTATGTACCCTATTTAGCTATGTTTTTTAAAATGACGCCTATAATCTTTTAATAGCGTTTTTAAAGCGCCATAAAGCTACGACGATGGCTGCTTCTTTGGAGTTTGGTTATGACTGTCTGTAAATCTTTTAGCGGTGTTTTGGACCCCTATAGTGGTGTTTTAAAAACGCCACTAAATGTAAAATTTTGTGCCATGCAAAAATGGTATACTCCAAAAATATAAACAAAAACAGGAATACTAATATTTGATAAAAACTCAATTGTAAAATTCATTATAGTTAATTTGGGAGACAATAATGGCTCAAAGTTTTTGGAGGCCTCAAGTTAAACATTAAAATGAGATTTTATCTTATTGAGTTTTTGAAAAGTTGAGGTCTTCAATGATAATAATTTTGTGAAATTTTTAAGAAGGCCTTAGGCGACAATTTAAGTGACTTAATGGTTGAGCCACCTCTAGTTGGGGTGCCAACATCTACAATTTAGGGTTCGTTGTGTTATACAATCTTCAATGTATTCAAAGAAAAAATATAAAGAAAATGAGAGAATCTGTTTGATTACAAAAATCAAAACATTATATATATA